TAGGTATGTTTAGATACCTGGGGGCAGCCATCAACACCAAAAGACAAGAGAACAGAAGAAGAGGGTGCAGGTAGGGTGGAGCAGGAGGATACAAATCTTGGGACACATTTGTGACAGATAGAGAAAAGGGGAAGATCTATGAGAAAGTAGTGAGACCTGATCTGTGGTTTGGAGACAGTGGCACTGACAAAAAGACAGGAGGCTCTAGGATTTCCATTGAGAAAGACCACAGGATTGCAAATATAGGGACGGTTCAGGTTGAGCAGTTTGGGGGCAAAGTTAGAAGCAAAGATGAGACCAGAGAAAGCGGTAAGAGCACAAAGAAAATGTATTCAGCTCCGGAGATAGTCCTTCTTCTATTCAGCAGTTATTGTTGAGTTTTGTGGACCAGCTGATGAGCCAGTACTCCACCTTCTGCAGGGGCTAGCTACAGTGGCTTCTACCTCACAGCAGTTCCCTGGTGTAGAACTACCATCGTCAGCTCCAGTTCAGTTGAAGATCCAGGAACACAATCCCCAAGGATGACATTTATCCATATATCGTCTTTGCTTACAAAGACCGAGTATAAGCGGTAATGTTAAGATGATGCTGGGAAAGATCATGATTTTAGAGGCAGCACAGAAATGAAGTAGCAGCTTCTGTTGTTTACCTTGGCAGACGGATTCAGGCACAAAGCAGGGCTCATTTAAGTTTGCTTGACAACGAGTAGAGATTACTTGTTGTTGAAAAAGGTAAATATGAGGTAAAAGGTGCTTCTAATACTTGCTTTGCAATATCAATACTAATTACTAATTAAGCTGTCAATCAAACAGATCTCACTCACAGAGGAGGGGTGCACCATCAGAAGGACAATGGAGACAAAGGGATAAAGAGCAATGGCAAGGTGAAGGGAAAGCACAAGTTAGACAGGCGGACGAGGAGGAGCAGGAACCCAGACGGCATGAAGAGGACACGGTGCCAAAGGGGACCTGCCAAACGATGTGCCCCGCTCAGGAGTTACGGGATCGTGAGGCTCAGAACCGACTTCACCATTTTGAAATGTTACCAGGCACAGAGAAAGATCGGCGGCCAAAAGGAGACCCATCGCGTGCCGTTAAGGAGTATTCCAGACCAGCAGCTGGGAAGGACTCAACTAAACCCAGTGACCTCAGACCACCTCCTGTGCTGCTGAAAACTGTTAACTACCTTATTAATGACATTGCAGCCGCCCCGAGCCTGTATCCATGGACTGAGGTACGTAGCATTTACACCGATCGGTCAAATTGTTGATTTCCACAAAAGCTTGGGACTTTGTGTAACAGTAAATAAGTCCAACCTATACCCGCTATAAAATGTGTAAAATACTGCATTCACAAGAGTCTTTCTGAAGTAACATTTCTCAGCAAAAATCATTTCATTGTTTATGGTACATAATATCAGGAAATGATTCATGTTTAATAACTGAATTGGTGACTTAGAAATTAAACTTTTGTTATTATTTAAAGACAGCTAAAGAATTTAAATTTAGGATCCATCCATC